AGTTACATAAAAACATATTTTGTTTCTTTGCTTGATGTCAGTGAGAAAAACGTTTTTTTCATTTAGTTTTTGTTTGTCTCACTGTCAGCTTCGTTCATCATGGGAGTGTGTCCACGGTTCTGTGTCTGTCATCCACAGATGAATAAAAACTTTACTAAGAAGCTCAAAATATGTGCTGAATAAACAGCAAAAATATAATGGGATCATTTCTTCTTGCATAAGTGATGCACCTTGCATTTATTTCTGTTTTTTTATAATTTGGTCCAATAATGAGCATTTGTCATGAGATGTGGTGGTTGGTGGTGGTGAGACCCAGGTTATGATGAAAAGTGGCGGCACGCAGCTAATTACCGGTAGCACTGATACACAGATGACTGAAAACTAGAGCTGATGCCGACACAAGACTTAACCAGTTCAACTGTGACGACTAACAGACTGACGCAGACAAAGACGAACGTAAGACAAGGACCCGACGAAGAACACAGACAACGGGTGGGACTAAATACACACAGGGGAGACACACCTGGGAACAATCAACGAGGAAGACGCAGAGACAGAGACTCACAGGGAACAGGACCAAAAAACTCAAAGTAAACACACAGAAACACGGATCATGACAATTTTAGCTCAAAAGTTTTGGACAAATGAAAAAGCTCTGGCCTAATTTTCACCAAACTGAGCATGAACACTTGATAACAACTGTTGAGCACGGTGGTGGAGGAATGATGGTCAATGCTTTGATTTGTAACCACAGGACCACAAAGCTACATCAGTGTAGCTGCTGCCTGTCATTTGGTGAGAGGAGGGGAACCCCACAGGGTAAAAAGAGGCATACAGGGCTGACCTCCGACCCTGAGTCTCCTCTCTGCAGCGTAGCTTTCTGTCTGTCTGATGAGTTCTGTGTTTCAGGATCCACTGATCTGATGCAGCCGCTCAAAGAGAAACTCTGCTGCAGAAACCAGTAAAGTCACAGAAAAGTGGTTCATGTCTCAAAAACTGCTTCTTTAAAATGTTTGTACATAAGAGAAATGGAAACTGACCACAGCAAAGAAAAAACACAGAAAATAGTTACTGATCGTATCAGTGAAACACGGAGCAATCTCTATAATATAATGAAATATAAAGAAACAAATATAATGAAACATCAATGATGCAAAAATGTTTACAGCAGAAAAATGTCAGCTTCAACATTTGACTGAACAGTTTCTGTGGTCAGAGTTGGTGTAGAGGAAACGAGCAGCGAGCATCCCGAGGGGAGGAGAGCGGAGGAGTGACGGGTTTGATCATCAGCTGGGAGACACAGCAGCAGGAAACCATCATGGCCGCCCGTCTGTCTTCGCTCTGCCTCGTCTTCCTCTGTGAGTAAATCACCTTTTTATTTAGCTGTTTATTTATATTATTTAAACGGATTTCTTCTCAGTTATTAACTGGTAATTAAAGACACGACTGTAAAATGTTAATGGATAAAGAATTCAAACTTTGAACAACCCAAACATCTGGCAAAATAAGAAAAATACTCTCATGGAACAATAAAGAGATAAATCATTTAGAAAACATTTAAAGGAACAGAGGATGGGAGTCGAACTCAGGACGGCCTGCGTATCGGGGCGGCCGCTCTGACCTCTGCACGATGCGCCCAGAGAGAACACATCTGGTGGAAAACATTTAATCCCTTTAAAGCTTCCAATTAAATGTAATTATCTGATTCTTGAATATCATTAATTCAAATCTATTATTCAGACAAAATTTAAGAGAAAACATGTAAACATAGAAGTTCCTTAAACGTAAAGCCGCACAGTTATTCTCAAAACCCTTTTATGAGCTTTCAGAAGTAGATATAATAATTTCACTTCCTATCAGTAAATATAATGTTGATTTATCTGCAGATTTGAACATTTGGAGTAAAATTTACGTTTAGAACGATCCAAAATGCTAATCTTAATTTATACAAAACTAAGTCCTTCACAGAGCTCCCTGAGCAAAGGAAGTTTCTCACTCAGTGAATCTAACTGATGATTATCTACATGCTCTCTGTCTGCCCGTCTGCTTTAACTGTTCGACCTTCGCCTCACTGCAGCTTTTTGCTGACATCATAAAAGTTATTTTAGAAACAAAACAGATGCATTTAACATAAAGAACACGACTTATTGGAGTTCCATAATGTGCTCAGTACCGTGGTGTGGCCACTGGGTGTCACTGTGGTGATGGACTCTAACCTGAACCTTCAGAGTCACATAAAGACAGATACAAAGTCGGCCTTCTGTCACTTGAAGAACATTTTCAAACCGTATGCTGCAGCTGGTCCTCCATCTTCTTCCTGTGGATGTTTTCCATCTCAGGTCTTCTTTCTCAGCTCCTCATTGTTTCCTCAGCTCTCTTCTTCTTCTGCATCAGTAGGATTTTTTTTTTACTTCCTCAGACTAACCTGCTGAGCCGGAACCGCAACAACATTCAGTAATGCATCATTTTCTGCAGCCCTGCAGGTCGGAGACATCAGAACTTTTGAAGTTCTGACACAATATGGAGTTTGTGGGGAAGACATCTTGATTTCATGTGTCTCTTTCTCATATGGAGCCTGGAAGATCTTCTGCAGGGAAACCTGTGAAGGAGAAAACCTCCTGATCAGAACGAGAGATGACGCAGCTCAGATTGGACGATACAGAACTGAATATGTTAGACAAGCTTCCAAAACATTCTCGGTTCTGTATGTGAGCATCTCAGAGCTGACCCGGTCCGATGAAGGTCGGTACCGATGTGGTTTGGGCGACTCGTCATCATCAGCTTCACTTCAGGACTTCAGGCTGGTTGTTCTAGACGGTGAGTCTCTGATGTGGAAACGTTTAACTGTAAATCTTTAAGTAACTGATGATTATTGATTGGTGATTATTTTATCAGCTCTGCTGGATGGAAACAAAGTTCCTGACCTCCACAGAGACGCTGGCAGCTCTCTGACAGTCGCCTGTTTCTTTGAAGACTCTGGATGGAAACGACTGTTCTGCAGAGGAGGATGTGGAAAAGATGAAGTTCTTGTTCAGACTGATGCAGTCAGAGCTGACAGAGGCAGGTACAGCATTGAATATGAAAAAAGACGAAATTCGGCCGTTCTGTTGGTGACCATCACACAGCTGACCCAGTCTGACTCCGGTCGGTACCGATGCAAACTGGACAGAGCGATTCGATCAGATCTAGACAGAGACTTCAGCATCACCGTCACTGATGGTGAGTTTTTACTGAATTAAATCTTCTGTACTTTAGAAACTTTGTAGTTTCGCAAACCTTTGAGTTTATCAGATACGTTCTCTTGTTTTTCTCACCTCTACGAACTTTAATTCGTGTCTTTGTTGGACATGTGAAATATATGTTTGAGGTATTTTCAGGTATTTGTGCTAATTTTCCAGTTTTATTCCCGTTTAATATTTATGCTTCTGTACTATTTCTACTTGTTCTTTTCTTTTTACCTGATTTATTGTTGATGTTTTTGTCTTTTTGCTCATGATTTATGGATCAGAACAGCATCTTGGTTACTTGGCTGTGATCTGTAAATAAAGATTGATTGATTGATTGATTGATTGATTGATTGATTGACTGACTGATTGATTGATTGATTGATTGATTGATTGATTGATTGATTGATTGATTGATCGATCGACCTTTATTCTCTTTTTTCCAGCAGTCGACCCATCCAGATCAACAACAGCTGAGCCCTCCAGCTCCAGTTCAGGTTTTAAATTCTCTAATTGAGCAGAAATGATCAGGCTGATTATTTCATCATAAATGCTTCACTTTCTTTTACTTCCTGTTTTTTTCTTGGTGTCTCTATTAGTTGTCCTTTAGTTTGCCTGTTTTGTTGTATGTATTTATCTTATTGTTCATACTTTGTTTTATGGACATGTGCAGCAGTTCTGTCACTTTGGCTGTGTGGAGTCGTTTATAAATAAAGGTTGATTGATTGACTGACTGGCTGATTGGTTGATCTGTTTCTTTTCTCTTTCTTCCAGCAGTCGGCCCGTCCAGCTCCACACCAGCAGTAACATCACAGACTTTCAGCTCCATTTCAACTCATGTTTTCAGTCAGTTTTAAAGTCTCATGCTTTAATTGTTTTTTAAAATTTATTTTTTCCCATTTGTTTCATTGCAGTTGTTTTTATCTTTGCTTTAATGACCTGCACAGCATTTCTGTAACTGTGTCTATAGGTTCCTCTATAAATGAAGACAGATTGATTTCTGACCTTATTTACTTTTTACAGCAAACAACCCAACCAGCCTCACAACAACAACTCAGAGATTCAACTCCAGTTCAGGAAATTTCACACATCGAAGATCTTTTAAAATCAGTAACGACTCGGTTCAGTTTCAGGATAACAAAGAAAAATCTTTCCTCTGTGAGTCAACTGTAAAAATCTTTATAATAATGTCTTTATTTATATATTCTCAATGGTTCTGTTCATAACCTGCAGCCAGAACTTGGTTTGTATAGAGGAAGAAGAACCAGGTTCTGATGGTTCTGGGTTGTTTATGTGCATCCTGTTCTCAGATATCCAGTAAATGTTAGCAGGTTCTGAGCATGCTCAGTGTGAACCAGCTTGTTGTCCCTCTGCAGATGTTCCTGTGATCGTTGGTGTGACTCTGGCTGCCATGGTGGTTCTGGTCTCAGCAGCTCTGCTGGTTTCCTGCAGGAGACGATCTCTGAGAGGTGAGACACCAACTAACACCAGCACTCAGTTAAAGGAACCACAGTCTGACCAGGAGCAAAACACTGAGAGATTTACCTAAAAACAGAATGTAGTTGATGAACCAAATGTTTTGCATCTTAGATAAAAATCGGATGTGGAGGAAGTGGAGATTCCACTTTCTGTTGGACCAGATTAGCAGTCAGAACCCGATGGGTCTCTGGCTCCACCTGGTGGTTAGGTGGAGTCATGAGTTCACTGGAGAACATCTGGACTGGACTCAGCCTGAGCCTTCTCAGTGCCATGGTGCTGTTTATTTAGAAGAATCAAGCCCGGTGGTTCATACCGGGCCAATAAGTGGCGTTTTAACATTTCAACCAAGAAATAAAGAAACTCCATATGACGCCATGTTTGTTATTTGTGAAACTGCGGTGCATCAGGGGATGTCATTGTTATGCCAACATGGAAGTCTAGTTTTGGTTATGAAAAACTATAATTAATTACTTAGGGCAATTATTCATAAAACTAGTAATTTAGACCAAAATTTCCAAATCGGGGAACCACCTGGTTATGAAGAAACTAGCCAAATAGTTCAATTTTGATTATTGTCTGTAGATACCTGCCTGATGAGACTTAGGTTTTAAAATAACAGATGAAGTCGGAAGTCCATCGCTGGAGTTCTTTCAACAGAAAACCACACATGTATGGAACAAAAACACTGACAGAAATCTTGGGGAACCTGTAGTTCCAAAGTTCCTTCTACAGAGTTCTGAATAAAACCAGCATCAAGATTTATTCCTGTTGGTCAAATATAACTAAGGTAACCTGCTTCCTCATCACATGGTATCTGATATAACAGAACAAATGCTGACAATTATAAATGATCACCCAACAACTGAAGATATTAAGGACTGTTAATACTTTCACTAGGCCCAATAAGTGATGGGTGTTGTATATCGATTGCATTAATGAAAAAACAAAGTTTGCAACATGTGTGTCTGTTTAAGACGACTGATCTGTCACTATTTTAAACTAATCAGATTAAAGTGATTCTTGACTTGATGATTTTATATAATTGCAAAAACACTAAAAACTTTCAGCTTCTTAAACAATCACAAATTGTTTAACAGATGCAGAGAAGGAAGGAGGTCCAGCTGGATCAAACGCTGTGGTACGTTTTTTCTGATCCTGTTGCATCATTTCCTCAGGTTCTTCTTTTATTTCAGGGTTTAAACTTTATTCATCTCTTTATGAAACTGAGTGTAATAACAATGAATGTTTCTAACTCCTTTTTAGAAATCCACTTTTGAGAACCCCATCTACCAGGACCTCAGTTATGTAACCAAAGAAGAGAATCATATCTATTGTACCATAGATAAATACAAATAAGATCCTGAAATCCGGTTCTGAGCCTCAGGGATAATGCTTGTTCTGCTTAAATCAGAATAAAACTGAATTAGAAAAATTCATTCTTGCATCATAAAGAGTTTGACATGTAGCTTGATGTTGTTGAATAGTTGTTGATAAAGCTGTGGATCAGTTCTCTGAACCAAGGATCCAAGTCTTGGTCACTGTGATAAAATGGACCAAGACTTGGTCTAGTCAGTTACAGGAACCTCTTTGGTACCACCAGGCTCGATCCTGGTGGTACCAAGTCTTATTCATATCCACATGTTCCTGCTAGCTCAGGGTATAATAAAATATAAGACCTATGTTATGATGTCACCAGGTGACTCTGAACCATCCAATCACTGAACAGATGATTAGATCAATGTGTGGATGAACCAAAACTTTCTGAACAGAAACAAAACTGAAGTTATCTGTGGGCCTGAACAATCTAGAGTTATAGATCTGGAGTCAACACAGCTTCAGTTATTACAGCTGGGAACTAGAGATCATGCTGACCTCTGACCTCTGACCTGAACCTTCAGAGTCACATAAAGACAGCTCCAAAGTCGGCCTTCTGTCACCTGAAGAATATTTCCAGGATTAATGGATTAATGTCATCCATGTGTTTACCACTGAGCTCCTTTAAATCAAGGCTAAAATCCCTGAATTTATTAGTAATAAATGGAACATTGATCAATATATTTGTTGTATATTTGTTGGATGATTATATTTGTATTTTTTATTGCTTGTTTCATAATTACTGTATTATGTTTTTATGATGTAAAGCATTTTGAACTTCCTGTTGCTGAAATGTTTAATACAAATAAACTAGACTTTCCTGGCTTCAGCTGCCTCTGTCTGACCTTTGACCCTGCTCCCTGCAGAGGGACAGTTAGGATGATCTGTCTTTATAAACTGTCCTCAGGTGTGAGTGTCCATGCAGTTAACATGAGTTCATTCATCTCTTGTCAGTTCAGTCTCTCCACAGCCTTCATTCAGAAGGCCTGCAATGACTTTTCATATCCAGCAGATGTCGCTAATGTGACTGAGCTCATAGTGAACACGGTGAGGAGAAGAAGACATTAGTCCTCCATGATGCTTCACCTCCCATCAGAAACAGAAGCTCGGTGACGTTTGGTGGCTTGTTCAGCAGAAAGCTGCTGATTTACGTCAGTCAGGTGATTAAGAACAAAACAACGAAAACATGCAGGACAGTTTGTGGAGCAGCTTTAAGACGCTTTTAATAGTTTTTACTTTATGAAATAAATAATATTTAGCTGATCTCATAAGTAAATGGGAGATACCTTTATCACTTTTATTGGCAAATTGACTTTTTAAATATATTAAAGTAGATGGAATCAGAATCATCCTACAGAAGAACAACGAATTCGTTCCAGTAGAGCCCATCCAAAGAAAAAGACAAACAACAAACAAAACTCCTGGGTAGATGGGTGTCACAACCACATGTAAGATTTAATAAATCAGGATTTCCTCCAAGGAATGACTGAAAACTGATAGTTTGGACTTTTAAATTGATGTTTTCTACAGTTGAAATGTGTCCAGAACTTCAGCTTCTGTGTAAAACCAGACTGTCCTGCAGATGTGCCTCAGTTTAACATTAAAAACGTCATCAGAATAAATGGGAGCAGATTAAAAAATGTTTGAGTAGAGCAGCTCGTCGTGGCGGATATCAGAGTAGAGGACGTCACTGCTGACGCCTCCACCGGCTCTGAGCGCAGAGTCCAAGAGTCTGCTGGAGAAATCCACCTCAGCTTCATCATCTTCATCATCTGGAGCCTGAAAGAGGCAGAAACACTTCAGTCCAAACCAGCAGCTGATAAATCACCATGGTAACCAGTTTATTAAAATGATAAAATGTTATTTTAAACCTCAGACTGTTTTTTCTGTCAGACCCTCACAGAGTAAATATAATGTTCAGTCGTCGTTTTGTGTCATTAATTGGTGTAAAAATGTTCAGTTCTGCTGTTTATTATATTTATGATGATAAAAGTAAAAAGCTGAAAGTTTTTCTGACTTGGCGCTGATCAGCGGCTGCAGTCACAGAGCTGCTGATGGCGTCGATGTACGCCAAGTAGATTTCCACGTCAGCAGATCTCCACCGCCCGTCTTCCTCTCTGACATCATCATCATCGATTCTGGTCGTCTTCAGGAGAAAAACATGAATTATTGTGAAAAAGTATTTGCTCCATAAACATCTGCAGTATTTTAGGGTTTGTGGGAACATCTTGGCTTGCTGAATGGTTGACCTGATCCTGTCTGTCGTCCACCTGCAGACTGTCTACTGTAAACTTATAAGACTGATTTCATTCATTATTTTAATTTTTCAGTTTTATTAAGATTGCCATGTTATGCTGATTAATGTCTTTATATGCAGGTAAAAGCCTGTTTTTCTCATAAATTTGTACATGTGGCTGTGAGACATTTGATCTCTATATGAACCAGTACATATAAATAAAATATATTTAATATCTTCTCACCTCACAGGCAGCAGGACTTTGATTGGTTTCCACAGGAGAATCTGGAAAACATTTCAGAACAATCCGAAGTTAAAGTTTAAACGTTTAAGAACTCAAATCAGTCCAAAACCAGATAAAAATGATTCTAATCCAGAAACATTTAACCGTTTCTTATCTTAGAGACCAAGGAGGGATAAAAGTCATGCAAGACGAAACACTCAGAAAAACCACAGGACTCGATTCTGCAAGACATCACAAACAACAAGCGTGTTTCTGTTCTCTCGCCTGTTTGAGGTTTCTTTGATCTTCGTCTGCAGAAAACCACCATCATCATCATCGCAGACAGCAGGGCGGCGATGGCGGCCAGGGCTGGAAGCACAAACAGCCAAACATCTGCAGCGGATTGGGAAGGAGAACCTGCTGGTGTCACACTGCTGGTGTCTGAGGTGAGCAGCAGAATTACAGCTTCATGTGGAAAGATGAGGGACGAACAATTAAAGGAATATTTCAACATTATAAGTATAACTTACAGTCAGGTGTTGCTGTGTTCTCTTTGGTAGAAACCGAGGAAGATGAAGGTGTGAAACTTTCTGTACTGTAGTTGAGATTCGATGAATCTGTTGGTGTCGAGGCTGAACGAGTTGAAACAGAGGATGTTGACTGATCTACCGATGGATGGCAGAGACATAAGATTTAGACGATTTAGATTTATGTAGAGAATCACATATTTTTAAATAACATTTTCATTTTAATTGATCAACAATTAATCCCTTCAGGTTTTACTCCCTACATTTTATTTAGCTTTTCAATGTTAAGTTTTTTAACATGGCCCCGAAAGGCGCCAGATAAATCAAATCTGTTATGTTTATAAACTGTAAAGTTTGTGATGGAACATGTGGTTCTATATATATATGTATATATTGTTAAGGAAGAATATCT